GAGACCAGCCTGGGCAACATAGTGAGACCCCATCTCTCCAAAAAAAAAAAAAAGGTGGTGGTGGTGTGTGTGTGTGTGTGTGTGTGTGTCAGGCCTCTGAGCCCAAGCTAAGCCATCATATCCCCTGTGACCTGCACGTATACATCCAGATGGCCTGAAGCAACTGAAGATCCACAAAATGAGTGAAAATAGCCGTAACTAATGACATTCCACCATGGTGATTTGTTTCTCCCCCACCCTTGAGAAGGTTCTTTGTAATCTCCCCCATCCTTAAGAAGGTTCTTTATAGTTCTCCCTACCCTTGAGAATGTACTTTGTGAGATCCACCCCCTGCCAGCAAAACATTGCTCCTAACTCCACTGCCTATCGCAAAACCTATAAGAACTAATGATAATCCCACCACCCTTTGCTGACTCTCTTTTCGGACTCAGCCCACCTGCACCCAGGTGAAATAAACACAGCCTTGTTGCTCACACAAAGCCTGTTTGGTGGTCTCTTCACATGAACACGTATGACAGTGTGTGCCTGTAGTCTCAGCTGAGCATGAGGATTGCTTAAGCCCAGGAGATCGAGGCTGCAGTGAGCGGTAATCACACTGTGGCAGGCCAGGTCCCACTGATGTAGGCCTCCATAACAGCTGTCACAGCACTGACTGAGGGGTTAAGTTAAATACTGAAAGCTGAAAGAGCTAGTGGCCTTGTACAAAGTCTGGAATGTGACAAAAGCCCACCAAGAGTTTTGCCTAGGCTTTTCTTAGGCCTTAACGCATGACAGGATAATGAAGGAATTCTTAACAGGACCTGTTCAGGATTAAACAAGTTTTATTGTGGGCCTGAAGAAACTCTCCAGGCCTCCACAAACAAGCTTTATTGGGGACTAAAGGAACTCCCCAAACCTCCATGACTTAGCAGGAGACAAGATAACAGTAATCACCCCAGCACCTGGACCCATTTAGATGAAGTAAATTTACTGAGGCTCCAGAGGAAGGTCTTCAGGACTCAGATCTTAGTTATAGGTTAAAAGAAGTTAATCGCTTATGTCTTTAGGTGAATGCACACTTACACGTACACATATAGCTTAGAAGCTATATAAGCTTTGGAAAACTTTGCAATTTTGAGTTGGTCTGGTGATAATTTCCAGCCCTTCTCCCTGTAATCAGTTACAGAAATAAAAACTCTCTTCTCTCCCAGTTCATCTGCATCTCCTTATTAGGCCATGAGAATAAGTAACCCGATGCTTGGTGTGGGAACACCACCTCTGGACCTCAGCCTGGGTGACAGAACGAGACTCCATTTCAAACAAACAAACAAAAATAAAGGGATTGTGCCTCACTTATTATAGGATCTTTAGGAACTACAGAAACAGCCTCATTGTCTGGGGTAAATACCAAGGTTCTTGATCTCATGGCCAAGGAAATCAAGGATGCAGACGCATACAGAATGAGATTGGAGCAGGAGTTTAAAAGGTGAGAAAAAAGAACAGCTCTCTGTCACAGAGAGGGGTCCAAACCAATTGCAAGTTGTAGTAAGAATGTCAGGGTTTTTGGCCGGGCGCGGTGGCTCAAGCCTGTAATCCCAGCACTTTGGGAGGCCGAGACGGGCGGATCACGAGGTCAGGAAATTGACACCATCCTGGCTAACATGGTGAAACCCCGTCTCTACTAAAAAAAAAATACTAAAAACTAGCCGGGCGAGGTGGCGGGCGCCTGTAGTCCCAGCTACTGGGGAGGCTGAGGCAGGAGAATGGCGTGAACCCGCGAGGCGGAGCTTGCAGTGAGCTGAGATCCGGCCACTGCACTCCAGCCTGGGCGACAGAGCGAGACTCCGTCTCAAAAAAAAAAAAAAAAAGAAAAAAAAAGAAAAAAAAAGAATGTCAGGGTTTTAAAAAAATGGGCTAGTGATGCGGGGGGAGGGGGTTGTCTTATCTCCATAGGGCCTGAAGAACCGGTTAGGACCAGGCATGCCATCTGCATAGAGCAGTTTCTAATAGCCCCACCCCATTCTTTGATTGTGTAGGCAGGCTGTTAGTTTGTGCTGCTCTGTTGCTGCTTATCTGCGTGTGTTAAAAGGGGAGGGAGAGTTTCTATGCCCATTCCCAGGCACCTTCTTGCAGCTGCAGACATCCCCCACCCAGTGCATGCTTCCAGCTTCTCTATCTTAGGCTAAAGAAAGGGAAAGGAATGTGCTTATTAAGGTGCACTGTTTTTACTGGGGCCCAATGTACGTTTGTGAAGTTTGGTGACCACCAGGAAGCTTCCCACTCTGTGTCCAGGTTGCTTATCTGTGTTTTACAGCCTGATCTTCCAGGCTGCTCTTCGTTACAAGAGAAGTGATTTCTTTGAACTGCATGAGGTTAGAAAGGGAGCAATTTCTGAGCTGCTTTTTGTTAGAAAGTTTTCTGCTGGGAAGTCTCTTCATCCTATCTATCTATCTATCTATCTATCTATCTATCTATCAATCAATTATCTATCTATCTATCTATCTATCTGATTTCTTTCTATCTCCTATATCACTATTATAGTGATGACACACAACAAACGATGAATTACTGTTTGTTAAATTAATCAATGTTATATAGGCTGGTTGTATTATCAATCCCCAGGCATTAGAAAAAAGCCTGAGTTCCCCAAAACTTCATTTACTACATATACCAGCAATTATCCTGCCAAACTTAAGAAAAAAACACTGTTTTTTACTCTAAGGGATACCATTATGTAAGATGACCAGCCATCCTGGGAAAATCACTATGATTGGTCATCCTCCACTCATGGTAATAGCACACAAGCCTTTACAATTTCATCACCCCATGGAGCTTTTATGTCTGCACTTGTATGTTTTTAAAGGAGTTCAAAATCAGACTTTGTGCCTCTGCACGTACTTAAAATTTTTTTCTTCTTAAAATTATGTTTTTAAGTTCACATGATATATATGACAGATTAAGCTACAGTCATCCTTGACTCCCCCAATTTTTTCTTCTACATAATTAATTACCATTTTTAGTTTGCATATATCCTTGGGGTCTTTATTTATCCATTTATATACATATTTATACAAATAAACTGATGAAAATACACAGTATTATTTTAGGAGTGCTTATTTAAAAAATATATTATGCAAATTGTTTTTTACTTAAAAATTCGCTATAGTTCATTTTAATGAGAACTCTATAGCATTTATCACATATAATTAAACATAACTAAATATAAAAGACAATCCAGCCTGGGCAACATGGCAAAACTCTATCTCTACAAAAAATACAAAAGTTAGCTGGACTTGGTGGTGTGTGCCTGTTGTGCCAGCTACACAGGAGGCTGAGGTGGGAGGATAGCTTGAGGCTGGAAGGTTGAAGCTGCATTGAGCTGTAATCATACCACTGCACTCCAGCCTGGGTGACAGAGTGAGACCCTGTCTGAAAAAAAAAAATAAAAGAACAAACAGTAGTTTTTGTATCAATCTAGTTATTCCTAAGGAATTAATAACAACTCTCTCTCTCTCTTTTTTTTCTCCCTAAGACAGAGTCCCACTCTGTTGTCCAGGATGGAGTACAGTGGCACGATCTCGGCTCACTGCAACCTCCTCCTCTGGGGTTCAAGTGATTCTGGTGCCTCCCCGAGTAGCTAGGACTTCAGGCACATGCCTGGCTAATTTTTGTATTTTTAGTAGAGAGGGGGTTTCACCATGTTGGCCAGGCTGGTCTCGAACTCCTGGGCTCAAGTGATCTGCTCACCTCAGCCTGCGAAAGTGCTGGGATTATAGGTGTGAGCCACCACACCTGCCTTTTTCTTTTCTTTTCTTTTTTCTTTTTGCAAGTTAAAAATATTTATTGCTATTCCAGGCTTCAAATGAACCCCACAACTCAGGTCCCATGTGTGATTCAGAAGTTGTCATGGCATAACAGGGTGGTGGACGAATCCAGGCAGCCTGACCTTGAGTCCACCTTATCTTCCTCGGACCCCTGCTCCACAAAGCAGCTGTTGGTAGGGCCAACTCTTTCTCATCTGCCTCATTCCCCCTACAGAGCTCCAAGACTGGGGCAGGCAGCCTCCTAATCCCCACAGCTCACATATGAGAGGCTGCCCATACCTCTCCTAGAACTGGAAGAGCCTTCTCCTTAAGATCAGACACGATGGATTTGGCCCTGTGGAGAGAGAAGTGGTGCCACAGGAGTTGTTTTAAGAGAAGGCATGCACCGTCTTAGATCAGAGATTGCAGTATGGCCACCCACAAGCTGACTTTCCCCACTCACATGTCTGCTTGGCCCCTTTGGGCTGCACAGTATTTAAGAAAAATAATTGCTGGGCACGATGGCTCATGCCAGTAATCTCAGCACTTTGGGAGGCTGAGGCGGGCAGATCACGATGTCAAGAGATCATGACCATCCTCACCAACATGGTGAAACCCTGTCTCTACTAAAAATACAAAAATTAGCTGGGCGTGGTGGTGTGTACCTGTAGTCCCAGCTACTCAGGACGCTGAGGCAGGAGAAGCGCTTAAATCTGGGAGGTGGAGGTTGCCGTGAGCTGGGATCGTGCCATTACACTCCAGCCTGGGTGACAGGGCGAGACTCTGTCTCCAAAAAAAAAAAAAAAAAAAAAAACAAACTGTCCAACTCATCCTCCCTTAGGTCAGGGCTGCTTGTCCCAGCCTAAAATGTAAGTGGCACAAAATGGTTTTCAGTGAGGGTAGCTGACTCATTGCAGAAAGGGGCTTGAAGGGGGGCAGAGAGTCAAAATTTGGCCTTGGCAAACATGAGACAAAGGAAAAGGAACCTTCCTCACATCCTTTCATTCTGCTGTGGCTAATGCCATGTTATATTCCCTTTAGAGAGACAGCAATCTTTTTTTTTTTTTTTGAGAGGGAGTCTCGCTCTGTTGCCCAGGCTGGAGTGCAGTGGCGTAGTCTTGGCTCACTGCAACCTCTGCCTCCTGGGTTCAGGCCATTCTCCTGCCTCAGCCTTCTGAGTGGCTGGGACTGCAGGCTCCCGCCACCGGTTTCACCTTGTTAGCCAGGATGGGAGAGAGCAATCTTGATGTAGCTCAGACACTTTCCTCCACTGCTCAGGATGCTCTCAATGTGGTAGTTTCTGGTGCTGAGCCAGCTGGGCAGCTCCAGGTCAGGCACAGTAAACTCACTCATGGTGAGTAGGTGCCTTCTTTGAAGGGACAGTAGCAAAGAAGCCCATAGGTATGCAGGGGCTCTGGGCAGGGCTCCCCAGGGGGAATGAAAGTATCAAGCACATCACAGAAGTTTTCATAGGCACAGCTGCCAATCTGTTCCATGCATAAGATCTTGACCCAGAAGCCAGCCACTTCCTTCTCTACAGTTAATTCCACCTTCAGAGGATATTTGAGGGGGACACTGGTCTTGCCCTCAGCACTGACGATCACGTTCCCAGGAACGGAAAAAAACTGGTCAGCTTCCAGAGACAGGCTTCTGATCACCACAGGATCTTTCCCTTTGTCTCAGCTATCCCAGGGAAAGCTACTGATCTGGTTCAGGTGGACGTGGGCAGGGGCTGCTAGGCCTGCTAGAAGCAAGCCCAGGACAATCAGGAGCGGAACCTCCATCAGGGATTGCACTGTGAAGGGTGAGTCCGCATGGAGTTAACCACCCACATTTTCAATCCTTTAAGTTACAAATCTCAATAAACAAAGTACTGGGAAAAAATTATTCTGGCTTGTGTTGTGATTCTCTCTCTTAGCCTGGTGAAAGAGAGACAAAGAGAGTGAGAAGAAAAGAGAAGGGAAACAGAGAAAGGGAATAGTGTGATGGGGTGGGATGACAAGAGGACCTCGATTATGGTTTCGTCAAGACTGCACACAATGGAGAAAGTCTTTTCTGTAAAAGAAATTAGGAGTGTTGTCACAAAGAGGGGAAATACACTAGGCAGTCAAAATGGAAGACATCCACTAGGCAGACATTGGAATGTCACAACTTTTAAGCAAAACTTTTTCAAATGTCAAAATAGTCAGCATATGCATAATTCATGTAATTATGATTATTTTCCTAAAAGGAAGAAGTCACTTTTCTTAGTAGAAAGATGCTTGTATATTCATGCCCCAAGTGGGCCATTTATCTATTCAACATTTATTGAATATTGATCAATATTTATTGAACATTGATCATGTTTCAGTTACTGTTTTAGGTGTGGGTGATAGTGGTGAACAGGATATAAACATTGCTGTCCTAGAGATCACATTCTAGTGGGTCAAATAGGTGATTTAAAAAAAAGTAGACAGACTCACATGAAGATTTCAGGTAATAAATCAAGGTAAAAGGAATGGGGGTATTTTGCTTATGGTGAATATTCTTTAAAGAGTAAAACTTTTGTATATGAGAATGAGGGGCAAGGATATTTATACCATCTCGGGGCATTGTGATATGTTGAATGTGGAAAAAAAAATTACATATGAAGAGGACCCAGGTGTAGCAGTGTACTCAGAGGGATTATTGAGGAGCACACAGAGTAGGAAACACTTAGAGAAGTGTTTGAGGATAGAGGGGGTTTTGTTGATGACATCTGTGAGTTCCATAGGACATAGTAGAGATATTTGTGTGGCTCAGGAAGGACAGAAGATTGGACCAGTCAGGTATGTACAGTGTCCTGTGGGGAGAAAAATCTAGTGATGACCCTAAATTTTGGAACTTGGACTTTTGTGGATGACTGAGGTAATTAAGAAGGCAAGGCATGATGGCATTAGCTCCTTAGAAGGTGGGAAGTCAGTTCATTTATAGCTTCTTTCTCTGGCTTGGACTCTTGGGTGGTTTCTAGTGGTAAAGACGTGGGAGGAACAATCTCTCCAGGGGCTCCAAGCAAACAATCCCTGTTCTTCAGACTCCTCCTGATGTTCTTTATAGCACACGGTATCTTGATGCCTTACCATCCTGGTCACCCTCTACTGATTGCATTCAGTCAATCAGTGTCATTGTTAGAAAGTGTCTTTTAGAACAGATTATGATATTCTGAATGTGGGCTGGAAAGTACAGAGTGCCCTGAACTTAGTACCTCTTTTGACTTAAATACTACTCTTACATTCATCCACCTGTTTGTGTTTCTCAGTTCATGGTGAGATAATTATTCTGGGACTTTTTTTCCCCCTCAGGAACTGCCCTTGTGCTAATTCTTCCTATTATCCTGTAGCTGTATAATTATACAGTTCTTGAACACAATCAGTCTGACATATCCAATCTAGTACATTTTATAGATGGGAAACAGAGTTCCAGTTAGAGTAAGTGATGAGTGTGATTTGATGTTTTGAATCAAATACTTGGCTGGTTTAGAAAAACACAAGATTAATGAAATCACTTACAACTAGTTTCAGTTTAGGGAAGTGAATCCAAACTTCTTCCTCTTTGGTAACTGTGGGCTAGTCTAAAGAACAAAGGGACATTCTCCTGGTGGTGGTTGGATTTACCCTTGCATAGTGGGATTTGCCTACAGTCTTGATAGCTCAGATATCTGACCTGGAATTGGGGCAACTTGTCTAGTCACTTTATAGGAGCTGATTTACCTTTGGATTTTTGCTTGCTTGCTTTCTTTTTCTTTTTCTTTCTTTCTTTTTTTTTTTTTTTTTTTTTTGAGACAGAGTCTCACTCTTTCTCCCAGGCTGGAGTGCAATGGTGTGATCTTGGCTCACTGCAACCTTTGCCTCCCTGGTTCAAGCAATTCTCCTGCCTCAGCCTCCCAAGTAGCTGGGACTATAGGTGCGCAACACCATGCCTGGCTAACTTTTTTGTATTTTTAGTAGAGATGGAGTTTCACCATGCTGGTGAGGCTGGTCTTGAACTCCTGGCCTCAAATGATCCACCTGCCTTGGGCTCCCAAAGTACTGGGATTACAGGTGTGAGCAACTGTGCCCAGCTGGAGTCATTTAACTTCTTTAAGCCTCCATTTTCTCACCTATAAAAGGGGAACAGTGGGCCGGGCAGGGTGGCTCATGCCTGTAATCCCAGTACTTTGGGAGGCCGAGGTGGGTTGATCACCTGAGGTCAGGAGTTCAAGACCAGCCTGGCCAACATGGTGAAACCTTGTCTCTACTAAAAATACAAAAAAAATTTAGCTGGGTGTGGTGATGGACACCTGTAATCTCAGTTACTTGGGAGGCTGAGGCAGGAGAATTGCTGCAACCCAGAGGTTGCAGTGAGCCGAGATCACACCATTGCACTCCAGCCGGGGTGACAACAGCAACATTCTGTCTCCAAAAAAAAAAAAAAAAAGATGGGGGAGGTCAGGGGGGTGTAGAGTGATACTCATTTAATAGGGCTATTGTAAATATTAGTGAATGAATGTATAACATTTAGGATGCTGACTGGTAGACACAAAGTAATTGCTCAAGAAATGGTAACTATTTTTATTTTATAGATTTTAAAAAGACAAATTGCTTTGTTTTGAATTAGAACACTAGGAGATGGACTCAAAATCCTAGCTTTTATTTTCTTAGGAATATAACAATAGGAGGAAACAAATGAGGACCTCAACCCTAAGCATTTTTCTGGCTGAGTTTGAGAACACACTCTCACATAGCATGGTCCCAATAAACAAAGTGTCTGGTGGAAACTTCCGATTTCTAGGATATTCAAGGCATGTGAAATAATGGTTTCTAATTTGTAGCACTTGCTTGTATTTTAACTCCATTATGATGGTCCCATCTGGTGGGACTTAAAGTATGGTCTACTTTATTTTTTAAAGGTCAATTCTCCATTCCTTACAGATTATAAACCTTTAATTCACTAGTTATTACATCTAAAATGCTAGCCAGTATGTTTCCTCCTGGGCAAATTCCATCTGGGGTATCTCAGGTAAATAGTTTACAGGACAAGCAGGAGAGATTTAGGCACTGCTCTCCCATTATTGACCATGGTCTTACTTGTTTATCACCTTGTGACAAAATCTCTTAGAAGCAACACAAAATTCTTTGCAGCTTTTATCGATCTTTCCTTGACATTTATTTTTGTGGTCAGGAATCTATTCTGCAAGTAGCTGTTTAGCTACATATAGCCTTCAAGAGCTACTGAAGCTCATGTAAAGCCTGTATCTTAATAGCATCATGAAAATCTAGGTCAGTAGATATTTAACTTAGCTGAAAATAAAATGTTATGTAATGTAGTCTACACTCTCATATTAAAGCAGCTGTTCCATAATAACTTGACATCATATCTCTCTGAACAAAGTGCATGACCCCCTGCTAAAAAAGACCAGCACACATATGCTGATACCATGTTTTATTATCAGGAACTATTGTCTAATTACTGTACTCTCTTATTGTAAAAAAAGAATGTTGAGTTCAGGTGCAGCGGCGGCTCACACCTGTAATCCCAACACTTTGGGAGGCTGAGGTAGGTGAACTGCTTGAGCCCAGGAGTTCGAGGCCAGCCTGGGCAACATGTTAAGACCCTTGTCTCTATAAAAAATACAAAAATTAGCCAAGTGAGCTGGTGCACACCTATAGTCCCAGCTACTCAGAAGGCTGAGGTGGAAGGATTGCTTGAGCCTAGGTTGAGGCTGCAGTGAGCCATGATCGTTATATTGCACTCCAGTCAGGGCAACATAGTGAGACCCTGTCTCAACAACAACAACAACAACAACAACAATAACAACAAACAAAAAACAATGTCTTAGATGAGCTTTGAAGAATTAAGAGTGGTGGCTCAGGCCTGTAACCCTGGCACCTTGGGAGCACAGGAGGATTGCCTTAGCCCGGGAGTTCAAGATCAGCCTGGGCAACATAGTGACACCTTGTCTCTGCAAAAAACAAATTTAAAAATTAGCCTGGACATGTTGGCTTGCATCTGTAGTTCCAGCTACTCAGGAGGCTGAGGTGGGAGCGTTGCTTGAGGCCGTGAGTTTGAGACCAGCCTGGGTGAGACAGCAAGACCCTGTCACAACAAAAAATTTAAAAATAAAAGAATTCAGTAATGTGTGTGTATTTATGGAAAGTTAATATATTAAAGTTGGCATTTCCAATCAATGGGGGAATAATGAATTGTTCAACAAATGCTATTGAGAAAGTGAATTACTATTTAAAGAAAAGAAATTTCATTTCTATCTTATAGCATACGTAATATAATTCCAAATTACTTAGAGGTTAATGCATAAGAGGTTAATGCATTTTTTTTTCATACTAGATGAAACAAAACAAAGCTTATCTTGGTAATTTTCAAAAGGCAAAGACACCTGCAAGGCACCAAACCCAGAAGCTGCAAAGAAATAGATGAACAGATGTGCTGTAATATAACTCAAAGTGTTTTCATGATGAAAGTTACCATAAACAAAATAAGAGACAATCTGGGAGAAAACTCATGCAACATAGATAACAGACAAAAATTAATATTTACAAAGCATAAAGAGCTCCTGTAACCATCAATAATAACAATAAAAAAGCCAAAAAATAAGAATTGTGGAACTACAAAGGATGACATCAAAATGGTTCATCTACTTAAAAAGTTGCTCAACCACCAAATCAGGGAAATGTGAATCAAAATAGGATTCTGTTTTTCACATTTATTTATACGTTATAGAATAAGAGATGAAAATTATATAAAAGAGCTAATAAAAAAGACGTGGATTTAGTGGGGATGTGAGAAAAGGGGCGCTGAAAAGGGAAGGC